AATTTTTGTTTTAATCGTACCTTTTTTATTTCTCTCTCTCTCTCTCTCTCTATCTCTTCCCTTTGTTATCATACCCTAAATAATTATTATTAAATATCATAAATTATTAATGAAAAGAAAAAACCTGAATACTCCACTGCAGGAGGGCAAGAAGGAGGGAGGGGAGGGGGGAATCCGTGATAATAATTTATATTAATTTACCGTCATCATAATTTTTTTTTTTTTTTTTTTTTTTCCCAAAGTCATTACGAATAAGAAAAAAAAATTGGATTTTCTTCTTATTCGGATAATGTTTAACCAATCGATGGGGAGTTTTACTCCCTGCCGGAGGAGGCATTCATGTGTGCGTGTGCGTGTGCGTGTGTGCTTTATCGACCTTGTGTGTGTGTGTGTCTGTGTGTGCTTTTAACGTATTGGATTTCATTCGTTCTGATAGGCTGGCTCGTGCATATGCATAGACAATATAAGACGGTATAGATAATGATTTCGTTATGTATTCGTCGTCATCAGAGGAGAAAGAAAAAAATGAATTGTTATTGTTATTGTTATTGTTGTTGTTGTTGTTGTTGGGAAGAGGTTTCATCGTTGCATATTGAATTGATAAAGGAAGCAATGGGGGTTTCCGTTCGATTCCCTTTCCTCCCTCCTTCCTCCCCTCCCTCTCTCTCTCCCTTCACTCGTGACAGCTTTAAATCATTACTCATAACTGAATTCTTTAAACAATCTTTCCCCTCACTACCACTCCGACTTATTTTACTCTACCTTCTTTTTTTTTTTTTTTTTTCCAAAACTTTCATTAATCTTTTTTTTTTCTACCTCTCTCTCTCTCTCTCTCTCTTTCCTTTTACCCGTAGCGTCGTCGTCGTCTGACGTCTTATAACAGCGTTAATCGATACCCAAAACTTATTTTTTTTCTACGCTTGGTTTACACATGAATTAACCCTTAATTGTTTTCATATTTTTTTTTTTTTTCAACACAGTTCTCGAGAGATTATGACAAATAAAATATTTTTTTTTTTTTAAAAAAAAAAGGTACGAACCGTGAAAAAAGAAAAGAGAGAGAGAGAGAGAGAGAATAAAAGAAAATATTCCTTTTCGAAAAATAATAATAATAATATTAATAATTTATATCTTTATATAACGAGACGACAAAATTTTACTTTTCTGCCATTTTTTCGAGTAAATAAACGCGATCACGTGTTTTTTTTTTCTCTCTATGATTTCATCACACGTTTAAACATTCTCGCCCACATACGAACCATTAACGTTTTTTGGGAACCAATTTACAAACGACTCCATTTTTAATTTAAACATAATTATTTGTGTTAAAATTAAAAATAAAAAAAAAAATCTTACCTGTTTCCAGATCGACTCTATATGATAATCCCGACCATGGATCTAATCCATCCGAACCACCATCGTTTTCATCCTAAAATTAATAATAATAATAATAATAATAATAATAATAATAAAATTACCATTCTCTTTTAAGTTTCGTATATGTATTAAATGAACACATAAAATAAAATTGGGGGTGGGAGGAAGGGGAGGGGGAAGGAAAGGGGGAAAACGTCGCACGTTATATACATATACATTTTAATTACAACATGTCAACCGAAAAATGAAAATAAAAAAAAAATTTAATAAATAATAATAATAAAAACGCAGCAGACAGCAGCTGGATGAGAGAACTTTGTTATGAAATAATAATAATAATAATATCATAATTTTTAATATATATATATATAAAATATAAAGATGGATACGAATTGAAAAAAAAAAAAAAAATCAAAACATGACCGGTAAACAATTCCTTTTTCTTTTCTTTTTTTTTCTTTTTTTCCAACGAAAACGTTGTTGTTTCGTACCATCTCTCTCTCTCTCTCTCTCTCTCTCTCTCTCTCTCTCTC